TAACATGCTGTGCTTGTTATTTTACATGTCATGACCAGTAACATAGGGTAACACCGGTCTTCTGCTTCAGGTTAGTGAATACAGTAACCCAATTCACTAATTCCCTCCCATTTTTTTGTCTGCTTGGACAGACTAATTAATCTCTTAATATATTTTCAATGCATAAGCAATGCAAAGACCTTTACTGACTTTAGCTAGTTGAGACAAATGCAGACATGTGGCCTGGTTCACAGAGGAAGTCACACAAGCTCAGGTAAAGATGCAAGTACACCTTACAGTAGGAAAAAGAAGTTTTTTGTACTTCTGAGTCAATCCTGTTGATCAACTTTTTGCATGAATCTGAGCATTTTGTGGTTGCCTGTACGGAATGGGGACAGTGTAATTTCCTTGGAATGTAGTTCCTCCTTTCGTGAAGAGCCAAGTTGGCAAACCTGGCTGCAAGCACAAGTTTTAGCTCAATCCCTTAACTACTCTCAGCACTTACTTAGATTTTATACTTTATGCTTTTTGGTTATAATATCCATCTACCTGAATTCTTGTATTGAAATGCAGAGCAGATTTTGGAAGCCTTTTCTGTCTTGTAAAGCTAATAGCTTTCCATACTGTGATAATTAAAGGAATAGCATGGGTCATAAAATGAAAAAGATTAAAAGGCAGATACCCATGAGTAACCAAGACAGCATACAGATTTGATCTAAATGTTCCAACAGCAATTATGAACAATCTTGATGCAGGGCATTTCCTACAGTTTAATTGTCATTTGGTGATAATGGTTCTTAGGAGTCCCTGAGACAATAACTCTTCATAGACAAGCATTAATCTCTTTTATGTTTTTGTTGTTTTTTTTTTTTTTTAATATAACAGGTTCTGTGCATCAATAGATGGTGATGATAAATTACATAAGAACTGTACCAAAGGATCTACATGCATACCAAATTATCCAGTTTTCTTCTGATGTCATAGTAAATACAATAAATATAATAATAACAGCAACTAAAACCCAGTAAGTCCCTGAATTCCTTCCAGGTGTGGTACAAACACCTAGGATATAAAGCAAAAGAAATAGTGCTGGCTCTGTTCTTTTATCTGAAAGAGCTAGCAGGACAGCATCAGGCAGTGGCTTTTCAGCTCCACAGGCGCACATAAAGCATACCACGGGGTTCCATGACTTCACCCTTCTCAGTCAATGTGTCTCCAAGAGCCACAAGGCAAATTGGTGACAAAACCTAGGGTCAAGGATTTCCACTAGGTTGTTGATGCCTTGTTTGATACATTGCTCATGAAGCTGAGATGTCACGGTCAAACTTCGTGTAGGGCCCCAGTGAAAGCAGCACATCTGTACACATGAGCTGGGCTCCTTGACTGAGGGCTCACCCAAGGGCTGGAGTGAGACTGTCAGCTCTCCTTTACTCAGCCTGTTGGGGGTGCCTTATCCAGGTAAAGGAGAAACTGGAAAAAGGTCCCTTTGTGTACCTGCACAGACGCCTTTAGGCTGCCCCCAAGCCTCCTCCTTGCATCTAGAAGCTTTCGTGAGGCTGCTGAACGAGTGTGACCTGGTGCAGCCCGATGGCCTGATACTGTGATTTGTCCACATGTATTACATTTAGTGCTAGAAAGTAGGCTGCACCCTTTCCATACCCCAGCTGGCTCCACAAGCAGTATAACCGTGATCGTGTAGTACTGTGTTTGAGATAACTCACCCTGCCAAACACTAACTGCCTCTATGCAAACTAACTTGGTGGTCTTTGCCCCAAGTAAAAAAGCAGTGCAAACTCTCAGAGCAGCTACAAATAAAGATTAATAGATTCTGTTTGCAAACCAGCAAATGAAAGCAAGTCTGTATTTATGCCTTAGCTTAGCAGAACACATCCTTTACCTGATATCAAAGTTAGTAACCTGATGGTCTACTTAGCTTCATAGCCGCTTTTTGATAATCAAAGAGGAGCAACGTGAAGGATAGCGTTCATTTCCCATCTGTTTGGTTAGGAGGTTATGACCTTTTCTTTTTAATGCTGACCTCGCTTTTGTCACTGCAAGTTTACATTATTGCAATGCACTTTAACTGATGCCCTACTTTCACTCAGTTTAGAAACTGAGTTAATGATGGCTCATTGGCATGACTGCCGCTGGGCTGTGAACCTGTGATTCATGATCTGCTTCCAAGGACTTTACAGTATTGGTGTTCATAAATCCCGAAATGGCCTGGGACCAGCCTATCTGACATCCTGGCTCTCACCAGAGGCAACGGTGTCACAGCTGCAATCAGCAGAGTGGCTGATCTGGAGCAGCCTCAGCTCCCGTTTTTTGGCAGATGTCCCTCAGTGAGGGTCTGTCAGCCACAGCTTTTAGTCTGAAATATCGTGCTGACCTTCAGGAGGTGCTGAAAAGCTCGACAGTTTGAAGAAGGTGCTCAGGGATGGCTCAGCAGCCTGAGATTTTACATGCTAATAGGGCCTTGTCTTTTTCCTTCTGAACATATTTTTTCAGCTGCTTCATTTACTTCCTTTCAGCCTGTCCCCTCCCCTCATGCTGGGGAGACCAGAGGAACTTAAATGTGCAACCGGCTGCTCTCAGGGGTTCTCGTTTGTACAGGGCATGGTACCAGGGTTTGGACCTGTTCAGATCCTGAGTGTCTCCCTTGGAAATCTGGAGCCAGATTCAAGGAGTTTGTGAGATAAGCAAAGAGCCTGTTTCCAAACTTCAGACAGTATTTACCGTTCTCATAGGGGTGACATGAGGATAAATTAGCTTACTCTTACAAAACACCTCCAAAATATGAAGGGCTTAGTGCTGGTGTTTACAACAGGCACAACATAGCAAGGCTGAGCTGTAGGACAGTGCTTGCCATAAAAGGGATGATTTGAAACCGTGGTCTTCACCCCACAAGAACAGGTTGGCTAAAGATCTAAATCTGAGATTAGGGCTTGGCTCTGCCCCTCTCTGCCACCTGCCCTCCCTGGGGTGTAGGCAGCCCACGCTTGCACCCTCCTGCCATGAGAGATCCAGCATCCCACTCCGATGGCCGTTCCTTGCTTTTCTCCTCCTGTCCTGGTGCGAACATGCAGACAAGAAGTGGAAGGCAGGGATGTGAATCCTCCCAGGCAAAGTGGTCCCCATGCCTTAGAGCAGAGTAGGCCAGCAGGAAAAGAGAGGATTGAGCATGGGACTAGAGGTTGCCTGTCAGCAGAGGGACCCGTCTGTGGTGGCTGGCTCCACCCTGTCTGGGCACTGCAAGAGAGCTTAGCTGGGAGCTGTAACCCAGCCAGGACCAAGGGCCTCTTACTGCTCCACGTGATTTCTTCTCCTGTGGAGCTCAAGCTCAGGTGAGATCCAAGGAATATTCAGCACAAAGCACAGACACCGGTTAATATAAGCACCTGAGAGCTTCATGGCCAGGAAGTGTTAGCTTTCTGGATCCCTTTCTTGGACTTATGCCCTGAACTCACTCTAAACCCTATTTTAGATGCCAAAGCAGCCTGTCTGGATCTTACTCATAATTTTAAGCTTGGTTTGCTTATCCAAAAGGAAAATAAAATGGCAGTGATCAAATTGGAAACGTCAGTTAATGTATGACTTTATATTACAATTGCTTCTGAGCATGAGGTTTTGTTAAGCAGTTGATACCACTTAATTCAACACATTCTTTTACACACCTGCTCCTCCTTAAAATATTAGCACCATGTTATGTCCTGTTCAGACAAAAAACTGGACTACTTGTGCCATTGATAATTACTCACTTGAGCAATTTAAATTTGAACAAGATACAGCTGTTGCGGATGACAGTGGGACAGAAAGATCTAAACTCTCATGCAACTGGACTGTCACACAGAAGCCTGGTCTCGGACCTAAGGTTTGTCAGTGTAAGTTACATTCCTTTACTGTGAAGCTGCCACCTTTTCCAAGACTTGACTCCACAGTCTTCATGCAAACAATATTCTCATTGATTTCTGCGATAGTTGAGCTGACTAAGGACTAGAAAACGGGGTGCTTAGAACAGCCTGAAAGGCAGAAGATCTGTTGACATGACAGAATCTCAATATTACCTCATTTAAAATGAGCAATAGATGATACAGGGTAAATACTGAGATGTAGAAGGCATAACTTAACAGGGATGATAGGTGCAGAAGAGTGAATCTTTAAAAATCTTATATATTGTTAATGAAGATAATCATTACTCTTTAAAGAAAGACTGAATTAACTTACGCTGCATTTCCAAGTAACTAGCTAATGGACACAGGCATTATCTTTTCATATGTCTTTGAAATCCCTATAAACCATGCCTAGTCAAATATTTGACTGATGGGCTTTTACCCCTATTAATAGCATGTGATGGAGGTCTTGGTAAATAACCTATCTTTAAATTTGCCTTTTCCAGATTGGAAAGTGGTACTTTCTTATTCTTTAGCCATCTCTTACTGCTCCTTGCTGCTTCCTGAAAGGCTTTTTGTACTGTGAAAACAATTCACTGGTTGTTACCTTGTTTTAGTGCCCTACGGGGATTTCGGGTGCATACACTCCTGAGATAAGCAGGGAGCACTCCAGCTGCAGTTCGGGGAACTTTGGAAGCCCTGTGTCTTATCTGCAGGCAGAGGTTGGCCCAGCTTGTGTTTAGTTTACAAAAAGAAGTGCGGTATTATTTGCATAAAAGGAGTTCTTTCAAAGCATGCTATATGAACACCTCTTGATTTGAAAACAAACAAAGGAAAAGAAAACACACAGCAATTTTCAGGAAGCAGCAAAGATGTCTCTGAGCTCTCCCCCAGCTGATTTTATCATGGCAGCTTACATCTGAAGAACAAACACATACTGATTTTCGTAAATGCGTTTTCAGAAGGAAAGAAAACTCCAGAGAACTGGTAAACAGTCCTTCTGACTGATAATGATGTTGCACAGTGTTTTCCCTTTTTAGCCCTGCAGGAAAAACATGGGATTCAGTTCTGCAATTAGAAGGTCATTAATGATTTCTGTGATTTCATGTGCTCTGTGATGACTTTACCTACCCTCCTGCCTGGCTCTCATCTCTCCCAGCAGCTACAAGCACGCTGTGCATTCAGAGCTCCTCCTCTCACGTAGCCTGCCATAGCTATCCAGGAAAAATGATAACTGTTGTTGGTCAAATCTGTCTGAACATAACCAGGAGAGGGAGAGAATCATCCCCTTCTCACAAACGGACGTGCCTTGCAATCCATCTCTTTTGTATACATAAGATTGGAATAATAAGGGCAAAAATCCAATGGAATTCGATATAAAGAATAGTAACTGAATTCTATGGGATTTAATGGAAAATAAAATGTAATGGGGTTTTAACATACTGTAGTTCTGAAGCATGAACAGAATCAATATTAAATTTCATAGAATAGTTCAAAAACTTATAGTAAGGTTCCTATGCTGAGTATATTCAGTAGGATTTCCCATTGTGCAAATCTGATTAATGAGCCAAGGTGGCAATGTGGCAAGATCTGTACAATGCCACAGGAGAGGACAACCCCAGAGAAGTTGCTATGTAATCCTCTGGGAAGGCAAAATGATATAGTGAAATTCTGCCACTGTGCCATGTTCTCTGGTGATGTGTATGTAAGGCCAGTGATTGCAATACAGGGGAAACTAGACATTTGGGAATTTCAGATTCAGATTACAATATACTTAATAAACACTAAATACTATGAAATAAGGAAAACAAAGGAAAGCATAGAAATAAAGCCATAGTACTACCGTGGATCCTGCACCTGTTCTCAACACTTGCATAATTTCCAATGAAGGTGATCCAGATACCCTGAGTTTAACTAAAGGCACCCTCATCCTGGCTGGGGGAACACCCCATTTAATATTTGGAAGCACTGCAAACTTAAACAAGGATAAAATTCATTATCATGCAGCACTCTGGCCTTGAGCACATATGGGAAGGCAACAGCAAAGTGAATGCCAAAGTTTTTCTTTATCAGAAGGGTTAAACAACAGTTAAGATAAAAGTTTTTAGTCATCTACTGTGGGTTAAATTGCTTCTTCAAACACGCACAACATTTTTCACTGATTTGAATGGAAGGCAAACACATTTTTCAGAGTGAAATTTGGATTATTTTCTCTGCTACATAAGTCCCTAACCTCACAGGGAGCTCCACACTGGCTCACTGCTTCACTGGGGTCCAATACTGTTTGATTTCTACCTACTCTTTAATGCATTATTAATATTGTGATTTTATTTTTCTTTTTATTATTTATTTTTTACTGCAGCTTTGGGCATTTATAAGAATGATATTGAATACCAAGTATTAACAGAAAAAGATAAGCCTCTAATCCAAAGAGCAAAAGCAATAAACCTAGACTTTAAGCAAAGGTTTTGCAGGATGGTGATATACAACATTTAAAATGAGTACCCACTTTCTAGAAGTAGACAGAAAAACTGACTATAACTCCAGCAATTCATTGAACACTTTCAGCAACATTAGGAAAGAGCAATTAATCAACTTTTGACATGAATTCAATTACCAACACCTTCCATTGTCTTCAGCAAAGATGCCTCTCTGCTTTATCCTGCTTTCTCAGACCTAACTAAGAGAATCTGGTATTTCTGGATGAGAAGAAACATGTCACAAAGACACATTAAAATGATATCATAATACCCATAACAGATATGGAGATATATAATAACAGATAAAAGGATATACAGTTTCCATAACATAAATCCTAATACAATTTTGGCTGCGTAAGACTTAAAGAGAAATCCAAGCCTCAGTTAACCCAACATATATCTGAAAACATGTGAAGCTTGTGAAGTTATTTCATTTTATGGAGCAAAACATGCTCTTTCCTAGTCATGCATTTGGGACAACCCACAGATTTGGGAATTTTCTTAAAAGCTAGGATTACTTGGAAACCTTCTACCTTTATCCTCATAGGATCATCCATGGTCAGGGTGTGAGTGGGGGAGAAGCCAACCACAGTGACTTAGTAAGTATCTCTAATGGTCCTGAAATTCTAGTGATTTAGCTTGGCCCAAATAATCCAAAATGCATTCTTACTCATGCTACAGACAAAATAACATGTATGTCTCCAGACATTCTCATGGCAGAGCAGCCCTCTACCAAGACTGAAACCATGCTAGCTAGAATAGTGTCAATATGGAAAAAAAGCAAATGAATGGTGAGGTTCAGCATCCAGCTCAAACACACTAAAAAAAATAAACAAAGAAACAAATATTTTATCCCAAAATAAGAGGTAAATAAGTAAGTTTGGAATTCTATCTGTAGGTGGTAATTATTTTCATCTACTCTTTAGATATGCCCAGAAAGGGCTTCTGTTTCCACAAAATTTCGACAAAAATAAATAGTTCCTGCAGGAATTATCAATTTGTAAAATATTAATGAGAAAAATTTCATGTGGAAAAAGATGCTTCAATCTCCTATTAAAACTGAAGGAGAGGAAATCTTTTTGCCAATACTGTGCAAACACACATAAAGGCAGAGTTAAACCCAGCGTCCATGGAGAGTCAGTGGCAGAACTCCCAGGGAAGACCACGAGGCCACAATCTTGCTCACAGTTCCTACCAGGCAAGTAGCACAACCACAGAAGGAGGTATAAAAAGCAAGAAGTTGCTTAAGACCCACATGTGTTGTAGGTCCGAGCCACTGTGGTGGGTGATAGAGGGACTGGAATTCAGCTGTGGGCAATGTTCTGCCAGATGTGGGCAGGGGCAGCAGCGGCACAGCTGGGGCTGGGCGCGGACATCCCAAACCAGGGCCATGTGGCTCTCAGCCCTAACAAATGCTTGGCGTAATCAGTCCATTAGTCCAGGTTTCTCCCAGTCCCAGACAGTTGTTTAAAATGAGCATCATTTGAAGCAAACCAGAAGCCTTAACACTCTATTTAATAAATAACTATAACTTTACTGCCTAAATTCAGGGTGGTCCAGACTCACTGCATTTACAGGCAACATGCCTTTCTGAGTCTCATAACACCATCCCTCCCCTCTGAAGGGGGTTCAGCTATGGCATGTAGGGTGCAAAGGCAAGCTATAATGTCACAAACCTAGGCACCCCAGAGAGCAAGAGGCAGGGGTATTATACATGCTTTGTTCCTTGGTCACCTGCCCGTGTCTACACAGCTGAAGGCCCGTCAGGTACTGCATGCAGTCCTCCTGCAGTTGGGCTTTTGCCTGGAGGCCACCTGTTGGGCCTCTTTGCTCAGAAAGATTTTTATGAGACTCTCTTAAGGCACAACCAAAGCTGTGATTCTAACCATTTTATAAAATAAATCATACATTTGGCAAATTTTGTATCCTTATGCTGAAAGATCATCTGCCTGAAGCCAAAAACTTCCTGTGTGGGAAGTGGAGAGCTTACATTGTATAAAATTGTCAATAAAAGTTAATTACTTATGGCCTAAATCTAGCTATCTTTATAACTGTGCCGCCTCAATTAACTGAGTCTGCCTGTAGAAGTGTAACTGTGAGGCCCCTATGCTTGCCTCATCATCAACTCCAGAGCCATGCTATTTTGAAAATAAAAGACCTGTATCCTGTCCAAAAAATAAACTCTGAAGGTGACTTGCCATGTTGCCATTTTGGATTACAAAAAAAAGTAAAAATACTCGGCCAACACACAAGGGAAGGCTAAATTCCAGCAAACACACACATAAACAGGAAATCTCTCTCCTGTCAGAAGGTATTTTTCCTTCGTACAATGGGGTTCAAAGATGTGTCATCATATAGTTTAAAACAATTGCTAAGGAACCTTACCATTTCCAATAGCTTAGGAATAGAGTTGGCTTCCATGGCCTGTCCAAACTTGCATGGGAAGCACACAAACACTAACAAATATGTGCTGGCTTAGGCCAGTGCAGAGTTTTTAATCAATAAGCATGTCAAGCTGGGGGACAGGGAGGGGAGGGAATCAATTTTCAGAAGGCAAATGGTAACAACTGTAGATTTAATCAAATTGCAGATGCAATCCCTTACTATTCTCAATATTTTTGAAAGAAAGTATCTCCATGGCAAAGGATGAATTTCAATAAATGTCACATATTTAGTTATATTGCTGAGTTTTTAAATTTATCAAGTTAGGTCACTGAGCCTTCACAGAAATGATACCTGCACATGTCAAAAAGATTCTGATACTATTTAGCTGGATAAACGTCAAAATGAAGGAGCTATGGTAGAGGAAAGCAACTTACATAGAAATTGTTATTTCTCTGTGACTATAGGAATAAAGATATGCCGATGTGACCCTTCTGAGAGAGGTTAAAGCTACAATGCGCACAACAAAATGGATAGCTATCAAATACCATGGTGATGGCCACAGCGTGAACACTTGAGCAAAATGAAAATCTTCTGAAAGCATTCAGCAATTTTCCTTTTGCATGCATTTGTGACCAAATTTATCATGAATTCAAACAAGATTCCTTCTGCTGCCTCCATTCAAAAGGCCAGTTGCATGTTCATTTTCTTGGGACAAGCACAAAAGACGTAGAGCTGTGGGGTGCAAAAAAAAACCATATTCTGTTTAAGTATTTAGAGCTTATTAAACTCCTCAGCCTTACAGAAACTATTCTGTTATTGACACCTGCTTGAAAAATGAAATGCTCTGAGGCATTTGCTTCCCTGGAGACTGGTGTACAGGGAAAGGTGGAGGAGAGGGTTCAGGGCATTCACCAGTTCCTTGCTTGCACACAGCCTCTCCTTAAAATATGAGGGTTATAAACCCCTTAAAATTTGAGGGTCATAAACACCTCAAATTCTTCATCTCCACTTCTGTTCTCCCCTTTGTTATTTGGTATACTCAATCACAACTAATTCAAGGAAAGTCCATCTGAGCCAAGGGGACTCAGTCACCATCCAGCCACATCAAGTGGCTGAAAAAGATCACAGCACGACTAAAAGGTCTCAGAACAGATCAAAAAAGTTGGCAGTCTACTTGGGAACAGTATTTCCTTCAAAAGAGTTATATCCTAGACCAATTTGGTCTGATAACTTTACCTCTCCTTTATTTTTCTAATGTTTAAAATTGGAGGAAAAAAAAAACACCTTTATCTACTTGTACGACATCATAGTTTTCCTGAAGGCAAATAGCTTGGCAATTTGCTAGATTTGTTAATGCTAGAGGAAACAAGTTAGCACACATACCATGTGTTTGAATGCCTTTGGAAATTAGATTGAAACACTGATTTGATTTCCTAAAAGGTATCTTAAACAAGGCAAGGTTAGAGATTTGGAGAGTAATGAGAATTTGTGTGACTTCAAACAGCTCTACATAAAACAGACCTGATATTCTGGGGGGAAAAAGGTCACCTAATTATTCGTTTCCTGAAGGCCCTGTCTATGCTACATTTCCCCTGGGTAAGGAAACTGATTTAAAAATGGCTTCTGCGAACGTGCTTGCATCAATCGCTATGTATGATATACAGATTTGTTAGAACCATTGCCAAGAGAAACACAACATTCTTACAAGGAGAGAACAAGAGAACCTGCCTGGCTTGGCTATGGCAAAGAGGTGCCATCTGCAGAGTCTTCCACGAGCCGTGGTCCTGCCTCCTGGCTGATGGTGTGCTGCTCAGGACCACGTAGTGTGACTATCAGTGGTGAGCTGCACGGGTTTAATCACCAGCTACAACCTTCTTGTGGGAGGCAAAATCACAGACTGTGGCCATGGTGGACAAGATTCCCAGGTTGATGGCTCTGCTGAGGGTAACAGCCTAGTGAAACATGAAATTGTGACTTTGGCTCAAAGGCCAGCCAGAGAGACAGCAACAGGGAAGTGAGAAGCGTGGACGCAATGGTTTCATAGGAACCAGCCACGGAGGTGTGGTTGCCACCCAAAATCTTAGGAAGGTTTGTTTGAAACATCACACACTGCAACCCATTCTCTCTCTTTTGCACCAAACAGATCCTGGAACTCCCTCCTGGGTTTTGCATTCTTGTAGTTTTGGAGAACACTGTTCAGCTACCCTATTACTTCCTCACTTGAGATGATGTGTGTTTTTGTAGTGCTGAGAGAGCCCAAGCAAGATCTCCCTTACACCACAGAATCTGCAAACACACATGGAGATGCAGAACCTCTCCTTGCTTTCCACCTGAAGTGAATTAAATCTAGACACACCACCACCACCAAGCAATTGTGGTACAAAGCAGATCACCCCGAGGCCTGGGACTCCCACTGCCATAGCTCTGGCTAGTTGGCTACCCCACTGCAGCATGCTGCTGGCATTAGGTTCCCTTTGCGGCTGTGAAGGCAAGGCTGCTGCTCCTGCACCGCAGCCAGCTGTGCCCGTTGGTCTCTGAAGTCCTGGAAGCCAGATTTGGGAGGCAGCAGCCTTTGAATTTCTCCTCTGAGTTGAAAAACACAAAGCAGCTCCTTGCAGATCACAAAAGAATGAGAGTAGGTGGGTTGGCCCCTTCAATTGCATTGGACCAGCAGGAGGAGGTTACAGGTCATCAGTTAAGGTACTGGAAAACGATATATGCAGGAAAATCAGGATGGGAAAGGCAGTCCTGGGATGACAACGTTTGCCACTCAATTTTGCATTCATGAGCTGTTCATTGAACCTCTGCTGAATTTTGGCTTCCTGGCTGGATTGCCCTGACTCACTGTGCTCCCGGCCATCTACAGGCTGCACTGCCATCTCCCCGGAGCAAACGGCACCTCCACGAACCACACTCCAGCCACATGTGCAATTTAGTTTACCAGTAAAGAACTGTCATGCAGTGGTTATCCTTTAGAGGACGGACAAAAAAGCCCTATAGGAAAAAAAAAGACAATTCATTCCCTCCCCACCAAAATGGCAAAGAAGCTGACTCCCTTTTCTGTAAATAGAGATGAATGTTTTACACAATATTCCTTTCTCCAAATGATTCAATTTGCATTAGAAGACAGTCACAAAAAGAATCCGACAGTGCTAAGAAGGATTAGGGCACACAAAGAACAAGCGAGACAGTCATTCTCCTAACTTACTTTGTTTTCAGTGTGCAGCTCCTGCCAAAGGCTGGCTTTTTGCTCTTGCAGTGTATGATCTGTAAACATTTAACCAGCTCTTACAGAAGCAGGCGAGACACTTTATCTTGCCTGATTATGAATCCAAACCTCTCAGATCTCAAAAAAAATAAAAAAAAGGAGGAAAAAAATCACCATGCTGGGTTTTTTTTTGGGTGGACAATGCAAAAAGCACCTGTAGGATGAAAGCAAATGAACTACTGCATATGGCATAAGTTCTTCGGGAAAAGCATGCGTTGCAGCTTGAATAACCTCCTACAGGTTACAAATGCACAGTTTGTTAAACATCGCTGTCACTTGATTATTAAGCCCTATTTTAAGATGTATGTGTGAAACTTCCAATTTCTCAGGAGTGCATCGAGTATTTATAAAGCCGAAGACCACCTAGTTTAATGCTGACATAGAAACAGTGTGGAATGCCATTCTATAGCGCAAGTTATTTACCATTTTAAGCAAATTATGCTTTTAAAAATGGGAAAAAAATATTTGAAAAAAGGCCAAACAGCAGTACGAGTGCGAGGAAGGCTGCGAACGCTATACAGCCACAAAGTCCAAGTCCCCAACTCAGGGAACGCTGAGGGTTCACCCCGAGAGCTCAGCCTCACAGCCGCTGCCGGACCGGCCACCGCAAGCCTACACCTCGGAGACACCGTTCACGAGTGGGCACTTCCACGCCGCGCTTGCAGACAGCCCCGCTAAACAGCCGCGGGCGCTGCTGCTGCCGCCGGCCCCGCTCCGCGCTCCCGCCGCGCCCGCGGAGGTTCCCGCAGGAAAGGGCGCAGCGCAGAGCGCTCAACCAGCGCGGCCGCCGCCGAGAGCAGCCCTGCAGCGCTCGCCGTGCTCCGCCCGCCCTGTCCTGCCCCTGCCCGCGGCGGCGACTTCGCGGCCGTCCTGCGGTGCGGGCATCCGGCAGAGCGCGGCCAGGCAGGGGCAGCCCCGCACGGCGGCTCACCTGCCCCGCGGCACCCGCCTGGCGCGGAGCCTGCCTACCTGCCTGCCCCGGGGAGCGCAGCGGCGGCCGCGGGGCTCCCGCGAAGTTATCGGGCGGGGCAGGACACAGCACCCGGGCCGCTCCCGTCCTACCCCTTCTCCCGGCTCGCACCGCTCCCGCGTCCTCCCCTCGGTCCTTACCGGAGCGGAGCGCGCTGCGCGCCGGCACCACGGCCGGAGGGGCGAGCGCTGCACCCCGGCGGGCGGGCTGGCTCCCTCCCTCCCGAGCTCCTCGCCCATTCACCCGGCCCAGCGCGGGCTGGGCGGGGCGGGGCGCACCTCCGCGACCCCGCGTCGCTCTGCCCTCGCCCGTCCGCCCCGCGGCCCCTCCGCCCGCCCGCCCGGGCGCAGCATCCCAGTCTCGCAGCGCCGTCCCTACCTGTGTCGGCGGGGGCTGCGCGCCCCGGCGAGCAGGGGCCTCCCGCCCGGCACCTGGGCTGCGGAGCGGCTCTGAGCGCCCTTCCCTCCGGCGCCTCCGCCGCGCTGGTGGCGGCTCCCAGCGGTAAATCAGCCGGTCCCCTCGGCTCCCTCCGCCCCTCCGGCGCGGTCCTGACCTGCCTGTGACTCACCACATCGCAGGAGCCCGGGTGCGCGGCGGGGAGAAGGAGGGAGGGGGCGCCTCCTTCCTTCCCTCCCTCCCTCCTTCCCTCTCCCCTCCCTCCGTCCCTCCTTCCCCCCATCCTTCCCGGCCAGACTCCCCCAGCCCGGGGGCAGGAGGGACGCCTGTCTTTTCCTACACGAGACACTGGGAGACCTTGGGGGACTGTACCCTGCACTCGGGAGCGCTCGGCTGCTGGGCCCGGCAGGTGTCTGCACCAGGCTGATGCTGAAGCCTTACCCTGAGAGAACAAGACCTGGGCACCTCCAGGGTTCTCCTTGGAGCCCTCGGAGTACAGGTTGTGCAGCAGCGAGCAAATTCAGCCCATGTTGCCCCGTCATGATGTCAGCGCTGGCTGTGCACCGAACGCTGGTTGACGTGCAACCCAGAGTGAATGACCTCAGTTCATACAGACCATCACATAACTACCTCCCACCCATATGTGCTTCCCTCGGGTACTTAACGGTGCAGGCTGGGATCTCTCCCTCTCTAGGTTTGCAAAGCAGATGGTGTCATCATCTTAGTGGTGCAGAGAAACCTTGTGACTAAGCAATGCCATGTACACTTGTGGGGCTGCTGAGGGTCTGCAAGTCTCAGCACTGGGGCCTGCACCAGAGAACCCCTCTTTTCTGTGGTAATAAGTTTCAGGAGCTCCTGATTTAAACCAGATTTTAAGTGGAAGGTTCCCTATTCAAATCGAAGTTATTGGAGACATCTATTATCCCTTTGCATGCCTCCCTTTTTGGCCCCAGCTCTGCTGCCCTTAATCATACCATTTAAACTGATGAGTGTTTTGCATGAGTAAAGTATGGGGAACTGCAAGAAACACTGCTTGGTTTCATGATTAACCATGGGAAAAATGTCAGACTTCACATCAATACATTTTGAAAGGAAAATTAAATAAAGTATTGTATGTATTTGGTTTAAGCCTGGGATGTCACTGTGATGTGTGTACAGGCAAAGCTGTACATCAGAACAAAATGCTTTTAAAAAGCAGTTAGCCAGCCTTCCACTAATCTGCATCAGCAGCACTTTCACAATTTGTTTATCTGTCTCCTCTTTCCTACGGGCTTTTTGGCACTACTAATAAAGACATCTAACCTAGCTATATGCCAATTTTCCACAAAAACAAATGTGTGATCGAGGCAGCATGTAACCTTTTATGTATTTAACTTGTGAAATTCTTACTCTATGGTATCTTCTGACAACAGACAGCAAGGCAGCCTATTTCAATAAGGAAAGGAAAGTGTAGGATGGCTACAAGTGGGGTTATACTTATTACCTCCTAATTTCATTGATGTTAGCTACATGCTAAAAATTATACTGACTGAAAATAAAGCCAAGTCCCTTCTCCTCTCCACTGCTAGAAAGCTAACCAGTGATAGAGATGTTCTGACTGATCTGATCTCATTTCTTTGAAGTCCCTGGAAATCTGTCCATTTGCTTCGATGACTTTTGCTTCAATCAATAGTCAATAGTATTTAGAAAAGGAAGACTGAGAAGCGGCACACACAGTGCCATCCCCTAGAGGAAAAAGCATGGTTATGATTAGATTGCACACCTTGGGCTTCAGATGGTGATCAGCTAATCGGTGTGCACCCATACAGTTACACCAGATTTAGAAGAATCTTCCTTATTAATATTGAAATAAAGTGGTAAATAAAATGATTTCAACTAGGTGTTCATCCTCTTAGGAACAGCCCCACATGTTATCTGTTCTTGGTCTGCTCCTCAGTTCCCCGTGCACCTGCCCAAGCTGAACAGCCAGAGCCCGGGCTGTTATCAGTGGGACAGCCTGTGCTATTCTAAAGCTAACAAATGGATTGTCACTAACATAAAAAGGAGAAACAGATGTTTCCTTTCCATTTTGACCATGTTGATGCCATGTTATTTTAGGTTAGCTTTATGAGACAACTACACTGCAGCAGGGCTTTGATAATCCTCAGATAGTCCCTTCACTGTGCTTCCAAAGATGTGTCCTCACCATGAACAGCTTCTCCGGGGCCTGAAGCAACTTTAAGGTGCAGGAACTGGTGAAAAAGAAACTCTGACCTTCTTATTTCTGATCCTGTTTTTCTTATCACTTTCCCTTGCTTTTCTCTCCTGCCCAAATGGAGCTTCTCCTCTGCAACCTGTTAAGGCATCTGGAATAAGTATGACGGTGCGGCACATTTTAGAAAGCTGACGGCACTGGAAAAAACAGTTCAAAAGTGTAAATGAGAGTCTGATGGGTGATCTATTCAGCAAGAGAACTGGAACACACTGGAGAGAGTATTGGCACGTGCTTCCCAGCCCTGACGTGTTTCGAGATAGGGAGCTGATGAGAAAACACTATCACTTGTCCAAGGATACAAACATACAGTTAGAAAAATGAATTGCAAGGCTGTGTTTAAGTTAAACTTTCAAATATAAAGATGAGGAATGAAAACACAGGACACTTTATATTTCCATACATTGGCAGCAGTGCACTCTCAACACACTGAGGGGCCCTGTTCAGTCCTATGCTTTTGATTGTGGCTTTGAGAGCTTAAAAAAGGATTTATCATACCTGTAGGTAGCAAAATGGAGTCCAAAGACCTAGGTAGCTGATTTCTACTTAATTTCAGTAATGAGAAGATATTTAAATATTTCTGTAAATCTGATCAAACCACCTTTTTTAAATCTACAGAATCAAACATGGGTGCACTATGCATTTCTGCAGGATCACACTACACTAAGTAGCGTCACAGCTATATGATACCATCAGTGGATTTGCTCTTTGCCCTCTGCTGCAGTCATTCACACCTTTGGGAGCAGATATAAAATGCAAATGTCATTGTGAGACTCCAGAGACTTCTGCCTTAGCGGGGCTTACTCATGAGCAAATGATTTCACAAAGAGCAAGACTCTGGAAAGGAATTAATTTAATGCTTAAGAACACATGAGACAAAGATCTCTAGACCTGAGCTCAGTAGCAGTAGGTAACAGGTACCCTCCTACCTCAGTACCCTGCAACACAGACTGCTAGTAGCTCAGTCTGAGTCTCCCTGGAAGGTGATACACAAAGAAAAGAGCGTTAGATGACTCCATCCAAACCAACTGCCTTACAAACCAGTGATCCAAGGGTAAAATATCAGTGCAAGAGGCTACTGGGGCAATGTGGAACTGTAATTCCTGCAGACCCATGTTTACTGGAAGGCAGCCTGGCTGCAAATGCCAGGGGCAGCTCAGTGAAGGGGTTATGCCTGAGGCACATTTCCCTCTGACTACTTTTATCCTGTCAAGTCACTCTGACATCATCTGGCTTTCACTGTCTCTCCTGGGCTCAAAAAGCATATGGTGGCAAGGGACAAACAGTGCTGATGGGGGCATTGGGCTGGGGAGAAAGCATGCTTGTGATGGTTGTTCTGCCTCTCTGGAAACCAGACTTAGTATCGTAATCACTACTTATATTTGTAGGCTCCGAAGATTCGATCATCACTATGCTTTATGGCTATTTACTAATTATCTAGTCATTTATTAACCAAGCCTGTAGATTTTGCAAGCTAAATAAGTACTTTCTGTTTGTTTGTGAGAGGGTCAACAATGGCACCAGAAGAAATTTCAGCCTGTGGCTGAAGGTTGCAAAAGTTCCTTGCAAAGCCAGAAATAGAAGACCACAGTTAGAAATCCTGATCTCTAACCACTAAGCTACTCTGGCCAGTTCTCTGTTTGCATGGAAGTATGGATAGTAACCAAAGGTGTTTCCACTCATTGCAGTGTGGATCACAGGTGATTTCTTGTCTCCGTTTATTGACTGAGCAAAGGGAAGTCCTTTGTTTAACTTGACAGGGTTTTTCTCCTTCATTGTCTTTCTATTTGTAAATGAACACCACAAATGAGTGATCCCAACATCTGGATAGTGCAGGCATCAACTAACTGGACTGCTTGAGGATGGAGAAAAATATGGATGGTGTTAGTGCATCTGAAGTCTGGATTGCTACTGTCTGTGTCCCTGTTGTGCCAGCCCTAAAGTCTCAGTGACCGCGTGAGAAGCTGATCCATGCAGTTCAAGAACCCAGCAAAAATTAATCACTCAAAAAACCAAAGATTAGCTTACAGACAGATCAGCTCTTTAAATCCATCTGCTATGCAGTAACATGAGTGCTAGTGCCTGCAAAAGGACGAGGTCAGAGACTGAGGAGGAGGGTGTCTTGTAGCAACTGAGATTAACATGACTTTAAACTGAGGTGGGACCTGAGCCTTGGGAAAGCAGCAGAGGAACTGGGAGGAGATGGTGTGAATTGCAGTGCTGCTCCTCACCTTAGCCTTGCCTCCCTTTCTAATGTTGTTGAGATGCCTGGCTAGATTTGCTGTTTGCAGAGAAGGACTGATGGGTGATGTGATGGTTTGAGGCTGTCTTGGGGAAAGTGATCACAAAGTAGTTGAATTTTCAATCCTTGGAGAAATCGGGATGAAGATCAGTAAAACCTTCACCTTAGACTTCCAAAGGGATGACTTTGGCCTGTTTAGGATGCTGGTTGGCAGAATGCCCTGGGAAACATTACTACTTCTGAAAGAATAAGCTTCACTAGGGATAATCAGATACCTAAAATTAAGTACATACCTAGGTCTGGTGGTGCCAAGAGCCATGGGCATTTGCAACCTGGTTTCTGCAGTTGTGCTCATCACTGTAGGCCACGATGCAGCTCCACAGTGTGCCATTTGC